CTTTTTTTTTTCACCATCCTCTTTGTATATAGAAAATTGAGAGAACGTAGCCGGCGATTCTAACCTACGCGGGGAAAACCTACCAATGGTTTCGAGTCCATCGCTTAACCACTTGGCCACGGTATGAAAAGCATATAAATTACCTTAGATAACGGGGACATTTTTACAATTAAAATATATCTCTGTGTATACGGAAAAGAGAACGCAGCCGGAGGATTCGAACCTACGCGTGGAAACCCAATGGATTTCGAGTCCATCTCTTAACCATGCCACGACTGCTATGAAAAGCATTAATTCCTTGTGATAAACGGACAGTTTTTTAATAAATAAAATATCTCCTCTGTGTGAGAAAAAGAGAACGCAGCCGGTAGATTCGAACTACCGCGGGAACCCAGGATTTCGAGTCCATCGCCTTGACCACTCACGACTGCTCGTAAACACATTAATCTTAGTACTAACGGGGACAGTTCTTTACATAAAATATATCCTCTGTGTATATGAAAATAGAGAGAACGCAGCCGGTAGGATTCGAACCAGCAATACGTTCGAACGAAGTATCGAAATTGTAAAAGAACTGTCCCCGTTTATCACTAAGGTAATTATTGCTGTTTTACCGAGCAGTCGTGGCCGAGTGGTTAAGGCGATGGACTCGAAATCCATTGGGGTTTCCCCGCGTAGGTTCGAATCCTACCGGCTGCGTTCTCTCTATTTTCTCATATACACAGAGGAGATATTTTAATTGTAAAATATATGTCAACGTTTATCACAAAGGCAATTAATGCGATTTCATCAAGCAGTCGTGGCCGAGTGGTTAAGGCGATGGACTCGAAATCCATTGGGGATTCCCCGCGTAGGTTCGAATCCTACCGGCTGCGTTCTCTCTATTTTCTCATATACACAGAGGATATATTTTAATTGTAAAAGAACTGTCCCCGTTTATCACTAAGGTAATTAATGCTTTTTTCCGAGCAGTCGTGGCCCAGTGGTTTAGCGATGGATTCGAAATCCATTGGGCTTTCCCCGCGTAGGTTCGAAT